TATGACATGTTTTGAGCCAGAAAAGGGTAGAATGCCCTCTCTGGGTCAGGGAGGAGGGCCTGCCCCAAGTGGAAGAGTTCAAGTAACTTGGGGTCTTGTTCACGAATGAGGGAAATATGGAACGTGAGATCGATAGGAGGATAGGTGCAGCGTCTGCAGAGAGGCGGGCGCTGTACAGGTCTGTCGTGGTGAAGAGAGAGCTGAGTCAAAAGGCAAAGCTCTCAGTTTACCGATCAATCTACGTTCCTTCCCTCATCTATGGTCATGAGCTTTGGGTTGTGACCGAAAGAACGAGATCTCAGATACAGGCGGCCGAAATGAGTTTTCTCCGCAGGGTGTCTGGGCTCTCCCTTAGAGATAGGGTGAGAAGCTTGATCGTCCGGGAGGGATTCAGAGTAGAGCCACTGCTTCTCCACGTCGAGAGGAGCCAGTTGAGGTGGCTCGGGCATCTGGTTAGGATGCCTCCTCGACACCTCCCTGGTGAGGTGTTCCAGACACGTCCCACCGGGAGGGGACCCAGAGGAAGACCCAGGACACGCTGGAGGGACTATGTTTCTTGGCTGACCTGGGAAAGCCTCGGGATTCACCCGGAGGAGCTGGACCAAGTGACTGAGGAGAGGGAAGTCTGGGCCTCCCTACTTAGGCTGCTACTCCCGCGACCCGACCCCGGATAAGCGGAAGAAAATGGATGGATGACGTGGTGTCATGTCTGTGAGCAACATGGTGTATGAAGACAGCACAATTACTAACCTCCATCCAGGTTCTTGTGTGGCTTCAACATCTTCTTCCAAACACTGTAAAACTGAACCATAGAGCAAAAGTGTTCCCATCTCTTCTTTAATTCTGTCAGGAATGTGAGGTTGCTCTTATCCAGGATCCGCCACAGCTCATCCATCACCTACGGTGCAAGAAACTAACTAACCCTAACTTACTCTGGCTTCTATAGTCTAGACACAAAATAACACATTTGACAGCTGGACAAGGAGCAAAAGACAGGCTGAGTAAAGTCCAAGTTAATTTCCTGGTTAAGTAATACTAATATTACTAATTTATCATTTAAGATAACAATGCAACCCCAGCTTAACAAATTTGTTCACAGACAAAATCAAATAATGTCCAACAGCTTGTCATATCATTGAAACATTACCAAAGTTATGTGCTAGGTCATCTCTAACAATAATTATGTCTTAGCTCAGATCAGCAAGGTTCAGATGAACTGATTCATGTTCATAGTTCACAACATTTTGGAACCAAGTTAACTTCAGCCGGACCTGGTTCAAAGCCTTTTGTAATAATTTGTCTGAAATTAAGCTTAAAATAAATATACAGGTTCTGATGTCATTAACCAATGTACATATTGTTTCGCTTACCCGAGTGAGGTAGACCCAGGACGCAAGCCACACCCTCACTGCAGCCTTCTCCTCCAAGGGATCTAAAACTAATCCTAAGGCTCCGGTATTACCCGCAGCTGTTTTTTAGGACAGTTTAGTCTAAGGCTGTGTTGAAATGATTCACTCAGACTGTTAACTACCTCCTATCCATGCACCACACCCAGAATCTCACCTCGTGCCTCGCCCGACCTAGCAGCAGGAGTGGGG